GGGGCAGGCCTGCACTCTGTCCCTCATTTGCTGTGAGCTTTGTGGCTTCAGTTCCCCAGCTCAGATTGCTCCCAGTTGCTCAGATTATCTCTGTCCCAGTCCTAGGCCCTTTCTGCCCCTCACTCCCTAGTAGTTCCCAGAGGTGGACAGCTGAGATTGCCTGCTCTGTGCCTGGCTCTGTGCTGGCACCTGGAAGTGACCCAGACAGCCCCAGACTCTCCTCTCCCTCAGTATGGTGGGGCAGACAGACCTGCCACCAGATAGCGGCAGCCCAGAATGGGTCCGGGTGAGGATAGCCGAACACAGGCAGAGGGGTCCGGGCCTAGGCAGGGGAGCACGGGGGCTGTAGGATCCAAGGTGCTCCCAACTCAGCCTGAAGGGCGTTTAGGTGGGATGAGCTGTTTAAACTTAGGCTAGAAGGAAAGGATGTGCTCAGGGCCAGGGTGGGCTTCTATGAGGAGATATTTGAACTGATTCCTTAAGAATGAGTAGCATGCGGCCCGGCGCGGTGGCTCACGCCTGTAATCCTAGCACTCTGGGAGGCCGAGGCAGGAGGATCGCTCAAGGTGTCAGGAGTTCAAGACCAGCCTAAGCAAGAGTGAGACCCTGTCTCTACTAAAAAACAGAAAGAAATGATCTGGACAACTAAAAATATATATATACAGAAAAAATTAGCCGGGCATGGTGGCGCATGCCTGTAGTCCCAGCTACTCAGGAGGCTGAGGCAGGAGGATCGCTTGAGCCCAGGAGTCTGAGGTTGCTGTGAGCTAGGCTGACACCACAGCACTCACTCTAGCCCGGGCAACAGAGCAAGACTCTGTCTCAAAAAAAAAAAAAGAATGAATAGCATTCTTCTGGGAGACAGTGCGGCGTCACCCTGAAGGGAAAGGGCGTTCTAGGCAGAGGGAATGGCAAATGCAAAGGCTCGGAGGTGAGAAAGTGTGGCCTGTATCTAGCAGATTCTCTGCTCCCTGCTTGGGGATCCCCCGGTGCCGTCAGAGCTGTCAGTGGTATGTCCCCTAGTCCACGAGTGGGTTAGTGAGCTGTAGGGGAAACTCTTGGGGCAGAACCTAGGCTTGTTCCCTCACAGCCTGGTGGTTTAATGACTGGCCTTGACTTCAGCCAGAAGCTGGTTTGAATCCCAGCTCCCCCACTAATCAGGTGTGTGACCTTGGGCAAGTGACTCAACTTCCGCATCTGATGCGGATTGGGCTGCACAAAATCAATCACCTCATTTGAAAGAGCTGCAAAGAACTCAACATAAAATTCATTATTTTTTTTTAGATGACATCAAGGGATGCACGAAACAGACCACAAAACAACCTGCTGCCATGTCAGGTGATACTTTGGCCCGAGTTACAGAAAATGTAACTGACAAAGAATTTGTCAGCACGGTCAAAGATATACTATCACCAACCTGATTGTTTAAAATATTAATATCGAACTCGTTAGCATTAGCTTATAATTTTTGCTTTTTATTCCTTGGTTCAAAATCTGTAAGGAACAGAAATGGGACGATTGATTTTTGGGTCCCTTTAATACCTGCCTGGCAGGCACTGGGTCAGCGGTACCTGTGACCGTGTTATCACTCAGGTTATTACTCAGGGAGACCCTTTTATGTTTTAGTAGATGACTCAGAAGGAAAGGCTCTGTGGCCACAAACCATCCCTACACACACACACCCTGTGCTCCCAAGAGGGGCACCATTATATTCTTCCTTTATTGGCTGTCCTTGTATAATACAAATCTGCAAGTTTAGATACAAAAAAAATCTGGAAATAAAAGATAGAAAAGTACCCACCAGGCACCCCTTCCCCTTCTTCCCGGACCCCTCCCCAGAGGGCACCGACGTGAGGTAAATGAGCATCTTCTTCCCCTCCCCCGCCTCCTGGGCCCCCAACTCGGCCCCTGCCCCCCCGAGACCTGGGTCCCAGAGTGGGGGAGGCGATGGGGGTGAGCACAGCATTGGCAGTGAACGCAGCAGGTGGGCAGAAGGAAGCCCTTAGCTTGTGCTGTGTATGGGGGGAGGAGACGATCAGACTTGGGGTGGGCACTCGTGTGGGGTCCAGGAGGGCCCCTAAGTAGGCATCCCTCCTCCATCCTGCCCAACACCGGAAGGTGGAAGGTCAACAACAGAAACTGGGAAACGTGGCGTGAACCGAGGGCATTCAGAGGGACTGTGGCCCTCCCCTGGGTCTGGGGTGGCAAGAGGGCATCGCCAGCCGAAGTCCGGCAGTGAAATGGCTCCCTTAGCCAGGCTGGGTCAGTCCCTGAATTCCATCCTGTCGCAACCAGGGCGTCACAACGTTGGTGCTGCAGTGTTGGGGGTAGCTGAGGGAAGGGGTGTTGAGGGGGTGCTGAGAGGCACAGCCCCCGGAGCAGGACTGGGGGAGAGGTTGTGCCTCCGCTCCCAGGCGTGGGGCACCTGGAGAGGATGGGGTGGGCAGGGTAGCTCGGGCTACAGTTCGATCTCGAAGGTCTTCTGCAGGTCGCCAGAAAAGGGATTGGAAGGCTTCTCTACAGCCGGTTTGCCTTCTAACGCTGCCCACTGGGCCTCAAAGGGGTCCAACTCAGGGGCCGGGGCAGGCGCTGGCTCTGGGGGCCAGGGTGCCCCGTTGGGGCGTGGGTGGGCCTGGCCCCCAGGAGCACTGGGTGCAGCGGGGGGCAGGAAGGCCCCAGCTTTCCCAAGCAGGGTGGCGGGCTGGGGCTGGAGCTGGGCGGCTGAGCAGAAGGCGTTGGCCACCATCTGGGAGGGTGTGATGCCCACCACGGGCACCCGGGGCATGGGTGGGTAGCCCAAGCCTGGGTAGGCGGGCACGAAAGGGGGCTGCATGTGCGGGGGAGGCAGGAACACGGCCACCTGGGCAGGTGCCGTGTCAAAGGGCCCCACAGGGGCGGGGAAAGGCTGTAGGGCAGGGGGCATGGTGGGCACGGGGGGCACCGAGGCTGCTTGTTGCTGCTGCTGCTGCTGCTGCTGGGCCTTGGCCACCTGGGACACCTCCTCCAGCCATCGCTCAGCCTCCGAAGGTGTCCGCTTGTGCCCGGGCTGGAAGGCAGTTGCAGGGGGCACGGAGGGCTCACCCCAGGCAGAAGTCCCTGGAGAGAGGAGAGAGGGGCAGGTGAGGGGCAAGGGCTTCAGCGGAAGCAGCTCGGGCTGGGATCAGGAAGGCGTGGGGATTGGAGCACAGACTTGGGGGCCAGAGCGCCTGCCTCTGAGTCCCAGCTCTGCTCCTCACTGGCTGTGTTGACTTCGGGCAAGTGACTTAACCATTCTGGACCACGTAATGGCGCTGTAGTGCTAAGAACATACAATTCTGAGACTCTAAGGCCCTACGACGGAAAAGGCTAAGTAGGACTGACACCCACCGGGTCCCACCACTCTCCTGACTGGTCAGTGCCA